GTGGAGGACACTATTAAGTACTTTGAGCAAGGGTCAAGTGACATGCTGAGATTTTGGCTATTCATTTTAGTGATTCTGAATAGTTCTGGTAATCCTCCTCAACTGTACGCTACTTTTCTTTGCTCATTGGTTGGTAAGGGGTCTGAGGGTGATGATGAAATGGTCATAACCTTTAAATACCCACTATATTATCACAACATATGAGGTGTAGCATCTGTGACGTTAGGTTTTAACATACACTCTTAAAAATAGAGTGGGTCTCTCACTCTTAAAAACAAATGGGATTTTTGCAACAATAGGTTACCATTTATATATGCTTCTGGAAAACCTGAGATGTTGAGAATGCTTTGAAGAACCTTTATTTTTGGTAGCGTGCAGATGAAGTTTCAACATTTTAACAGATTGCATAAGCACACATTCATACTGCACTCAACTGACCCTTTGAGCGGAAAACCCAAGTTATTATTTGCTTGTATAGTGAGATGTTGTTTATGAATGACGTCAAAGCAGACCAAGAACCTAGCTGCAAGTTAAATCTGATCCGTCATTAGTAATCAGGTCCGCATTTCTTATGTAGTGTGTGATAATAACTTTAGTAAGCACGGTAACACGTTCTTCCCGTTTTTGTTCAGTCATACTTAGAGATCAGCTGGCAGGCTGCCAGTCAACATTCGGGAGAGGTAAACACAGAGGGGGCACTTAGGCTACGAAGGAGGGATGAGTGTATGAGAAAAGTAAAAACAGAGATATAGAAGGAGAGCAAGCAAAAGGCACAGGCAAACATTCCTGATGTGGTGTCTAAGCAATTTAATTAAAGGGACTAGTGGGACGTTATAGTGGGTATTTGGCGGTGAAGGCTTAATTCCCCTTGGCCAGGCTTGGACTAATCCCAAGGGTCAGCTAGTAAGTGCTCGGGTCATGCCACCATGACAACTAAATGGGGAGTATCTCAAAAGGAGCTTCCCAGTCACAGTTAATAACTGCATGATGGACGTTAAGACACAGTGAGCAGGAATAAGTGTGTGCAGATGCTAAGTTAAGAATGGCCTTAATTAGTCTGCAGTAGAGTCAAGTGTCTGACATCTGAAGGATATTTAGTTAGAAACACTTTGATTGTAAAGATTGGGCCTTTTGTGTCTTGAGTGCAACTCTGGCTGTTGTTAAAGGTCAGATGGAAACTCTAGAAACATGTCACTTGTTGTTTGGATTATACTGATCACTCAAAATCACAAAAATCTGTTGCAGTAGTGACTGCCAAAGTATGAGCCCTCCTACTAAGACTGGGCTGTGATTTCCTTTGGTTTCTTCCTCCTTGAAGTGTTGGGTAAACAAAGAGTTGCAATACAGGGGCATTAAACATGAAACAATGGAACAACATTCAAACTTGAATGCCTGTATTTAAAAAAAAAATCAGTGTCTTTCAGCTACTGTTTAACATACTTTACCTTGTTTAATTTTATTCAGCAAATTTATACCTCAAAAATCAGCTCAAAAAGTTGTTGTTCACAGGTGCCATATGGGCTTGTGGCTACCTGAAAAAATATTGGAATTAGGATAATTAGGAACAGAAACAGACATAAGCATAAAATAATATATTATATATATATAATAATAAATTAGGGCTGCACGATTATGACAAAAATCATAATTGTCGATTGTT